CCTGTCCTGCCACCCCCATGCCATCCTCTTTCCCCTACCCCTCCCAGGCCCACCACAGCCCCATGTTACTCGACAACCACCCAAAACCCTGCCTGGAAGCTTCTTGCAGGAGCCAGCCTGGGCTTAGCTTTTGTTATATTTTGTGTCTGTTGTCTCCACATCCTCCCAGGAAACCTCGAGGATTAGCATGAGCCATAATTACAGACTGGACAGTGGGATCCTAGACTCTAGTCACTCCCTCGGGGTCTGGCAGCTCCCACACACACGGCGGGGTTCCAGCCTGACAGCAGAGGCTGTGCTGTGAGATGACCTGGCAGTGACCGTGTGTGGAAAAGGTGCTTGTGGCTGACTTTGAGGCTGGGTGCTCCCCTGGAAGGGCTGACACTGAATTCGCATCATGTCGGCTTGTGGAGGGTGCTGCACTGAAATTTGTCTCCTGGGGCTTCGATTTGACTTAGCTCTGCATGGCCCCCAAGGCCAATTTCCTAAGTATCTGATGGACCGGACTCCAGGCAGATTTACTCATGAGCAGCATGAGGGCAGCTCCATGCAGAGGAACCCACATTCTGATTCATGGTTTAAGAAATTTAGAGGGTCACAGTGTCGCTCAGCATAGCCTGTCTAATAACAAGAGGTTGTGCAATTATGTTTAGATTTCTAGGTTGGAAGAATCCCTTAGGAAGTCGGTGCTGCAGATAGAACAGCTGCAAAGGTAAGCCCCCGCCCCGACCCGCCGTGAGTGTGCAGTGGGGGCAGCCACTGCCACGTGCATTGGTCTGACTCTCCAAGATGAAGAAAGAAAGACGACCTCAGATGCAGAGGGAAGAGCTCGTTCATTTACCTGAAACTTTTGTCAGAGCAAAAATGCTATGGGAAAACCGAAGGGAAGAAGGGAGACAAAAAAGAAAAAGTGAAAAAGACATGAATGGTTCCCCTTGGGGCAGCTGCCCCAGTGATTCCTGAGGCAATGGGAGGGGCAGCAGGTGCCCTCGGGAGCGGGCGAACTGGGAGAACAGCAGGCGCCCTCGGCCTCTCCAGAGTGACCCAGCACAGGCAGGGTGGCCCTGTGGCCAGGGACTGTGGGACTCCACCTGCAGCCTGGCGGCCTGCTTTCTGCCAGGAGTTGTAGCCATTTGCAGAAGGTACATATATGTGGCAAGTTCTGTGTCTAAAGGCACTGCTGTGAATGGGTGATGCATCTTAGGGAGAAACATCCAGAGTTGCTAGGATTAACCAAAATGGGGACTTAAAGCATTATATTTCAGTATCTGGAAAATCTAGCCATTTGAAAGCCTCCTTTCTTGTACATTTTAGCTCACCTGTGCCTTTGCCATTTGCCTCTGCTCTGAATGCACTTTTACTGCAGTCAGTGTTTCTGGAATTTGGAATCAATAACAGCCAGAGTTCAGTTACCACAGTGATACACAGATGCTGCGCATTTTACACTCGGTGATGCCTTAGATTTTATGAGATATGTTGAATACTCACAAGTCCCTGTTTGGTGGCTGCACACTAACGTGAAGGTCGAGGAGTCAGGAGCCCTGTCTGCCTCCCATTGGCCATGTGTGTAGGAGTGGGTGAGCCTCCAGCGTGTGTGTAGGTGCCCGCCTCCCTGCTGTGTCAGGCAGCTGAGCATGGCACGGCCTCACTGGGGCCGTGGGGCCAGAGGGAAGCTGGGGACGCCAGTCACACTGGCTGATGGCCCTGCTGCTGACACGAGGTTCTGATGGCCTCTGGTGAAAAGGGCTTCTTTCCCTGTCATTATTTTGGGTTCTAAGAGTTACCACAGGCTTGTCTTGTGAAGGGTGTGTTCCAGGTGTCAGCAAGGAAACTCCAGGCCAAATCCAGCCTGCAGTGTATTCTCTCCTCCTTCCTTTCCTTGGCTTTTTTTTTTTTTTTTTTTTTTTTGTGAGACAGGGTCTTCCTCTGTCACCCAGGCTGTAGTGCAGTGGTGTGATCTCAGCTCACGCCTCAACCTCCCAAGGCTCAGGGGATTCTGCTGCCTCTGCCTCCCAAGTAGCTGGGACCACAGGCATGCACCACCACACCCAGCTAATTTTTTTATTTTTTGTGGAGATGGGGTCTCGCTGTGTTACCCAGGCTAGTCTTGGACTGCTGAGCTCAAGTGATCCTCCCACCTCAGCATCCCAAATTGCTGCAATGGCCGACGTGAGCCACTGCACCCGGCCACAGCGTATTTTCATGTAGCCTCCAAACTGAGCATGGCTTTTACATTTTTAGAAGATTGTAAATGCATTGCAACAGAGACTTTATGTGGACAGCAAAGCCTCCTACATTTACCAGGTAGCCCCATTTGCAAATTCCTCCTTTAAAGCATCACAAGAGGAAAGGCAGACACTTAAAATGCATCAAAGGGGCCGGGCGCAGTGGCTCACGCCTGTAATCCCAGCACTTTGGGAGGCCAATGTGGGTGGATCATCTGAGGTCGGGAGTTCGAGACCAGCCTGACTAATATGGAGAAACCCCATCTCTACTAAAAAAATATACAATTAGCCAGGTGTGGTGGTGTATACCTGTAATACCAGCTACTCAGGAGGCTGAGGGAGGAGAATCTCTTGAACTTGGGAGGCGGAGGTTGCAGTGAGCCAAGATCATGCCATTGCACTCCAGCCTGGGTAACAAGAGCAAAACTCTGTCTCTCAAAAAAAAAAAAAAAAATGCATCAAAGTGTGGAGTTACTTTCATTTTTTTCCTTCTTGGTGTATAATTTTCTTTCATTCTGTGGATTCATGTTTTGCATCAATTCTGTAAAATTCCTGCCCATTATCTTTTCAAGTAGTACCCTCTGCATCCCCGGCCACGGCCTGCAGCTCCCTGCCCTCCACATTAGCCTCCGCTGTGATCTCCGTCGTCTTAGGCCACCTGGTCACATGCTGGTTGCTTCTTCCAGCTCCCGGATTTTCAAATTAAGCCAGTGAACCCCACTGAGAGTTTGTTTTTGAGACAGAGTCTCACTCTGTCACCCAGGCTGGAGTGCAGTGGCACAATCTCAACTCACCGCAAGCTCCACCTCCCGGTCCAAGCAATTCTCCTGCCTCAGCTTCCGGAGTAGCTGGGACTACAGGTGCCCACCACCATGCCCGGCTAATTTTTGAATTTTTAGTAGAGACGGGGCTTCACCATGTTGACCAGGCTGGTCTTGAACTCCTGACCTGAGGTGATGCGCCCACCTGGGCCTCCCAAAGTGCTGGGATTACAGGAGTGAGCCACCGCCCCCGGCCCCCATTGAGTTTTTGTTCTGTCCATTACAGTTAACATTTCTAGAATATCCCTGCTCATTTCACCATTTGGAAAATAATCTTTGCTCATTGTTGCATCTTCGTCTTTTATGTAGTCATCTCACAGGCAGCCTTTTTATGTTCCTTACCTGATACCCTCAGGAATCCAAATCTGCCTTCTTTTCTTCCACTCTTGCTGGAGGAGGTGTGTTTCTGCTGATCTCTGGTGAGGTGGCACAGGTCAATCCCACTCCCTACATACCTGGTATCGCCTGCATTTTCCTCCAGAGAGGATTCCCGTGTGCTCTGCGAGCCCAGCTGACCCGCCCCAGACCACTGCCCCCGACATGTCTTGCCCAGCCTCACTGTGGTGGCGTTCATGCTACCCACTTTTGTTGTCGTCGTTGTTTTTGTCATTGTCCTCTTGCTCCCACGAAACAAAGTGCGTTTTAGAGTGGTTTGGAAGCAGGAGCAAGTGCCCTGCAGAGGAGCCAGGCCACAGCCCTGCCAGACGCAGAAGGTCAGGTACTTCCACCCACCACAGTCAGCCACGCAACAGCCAGTGTTTACTGAGCACCAGGTGCATTCTCAGTGCTGTTCTGGGGTCTGGCAATTCGGAGTAAGCCGAGCGAGCCAAGTGCCCGTCCTCTGGGAGCTTCTGTGTTGGGGGAGAAGAGGCAGAAAGTGAACTTTTATGTCAGGCCGGGACACAGGCTGTCGGGATAAGTGACTCTGGGTGAGGAGGTTGAGGGGCAGTGCCAGGGTGGGCTCTAGCAGGTGACTGCACAGCGGAGGTCCGAGTGGTTGAACTGTTGCACAACTGCCTATTCCTAGCTAGCTTGGTCCCAAACTGAAATTGCTGAGGGCAGACTGTTCGCATCTCAAAACCCGGCCAGCATAGACGGGCACTCGGTGCCAGGAGACAGCCCCACCCTCATCTGCAGTCATGCACCTCAGTGTGTCCACAGAAACAGTGTGTCTGCGGAAACAGACACACTCCCCCAGTCTTACACGTGCATCTCAGCGTGTCCACCAGGCCCCGTGAGGCAGAGAGGACCCAGGTGCAGCAGCCTTCTGTGACCGGGAGTCATGGGACACAGCAGGCGGTCTCTGCTACTGGCCATCATGGAGATCAGTCCAGGGTTGCTAGACCAGAAAACGTGACCAAGTGACTTGTCCATATTTCTCTTGCTGGCCTGTTTTTCTTTCTTGTCTTTTTTCTTTCCCTTTCCTTTCCCCTTCCTTTTCCTTTTTTGAGATGAGTTCTTGCTCTCTCGCCCAAGCAGGAGTGCAGTAGTACAATCACAGCTCACTGCAGCCTCCAACTCCTGGGCTCAAGCAGTCCTCGCACCCCTGCCTCCCAGAGTGTGGGGATGACGGACAGGAGGCACCATGGCTGGCCTCTTAGTGGCCTTTCAAAGCCGGTGCATTAGTGGCTCCTGTTGTCAGGTCTTCATTTCACAGCTTTAACACCAGCGGTGGCCGTGTGCTGAGTGACAGTTGTAGTTGCAAGAGCCAGTGATGTAAATGGCAGTGAGTGTTGAGTTCACTCGGCTTCTGCGCTGGGGAGGAGCAGGGCCGTGGGACTCACAGGACACTTTGGGAACCGCTGAATTCCTGTGAAATGCCCTTTGCAAACCCAGTAAGAACATTTCACTGATTCACTTTCAGTTGGAATGACCTGGGGGGACATCAGTTTTTATGGTTTAATTCAATACCTTTTCTCCATCTATTTAGTATGAGATCATCACAACAAACAACTTTCAGCACAATAAAAAGTTCAGTTTCAAGTAAGTAAAATCATGCCAGAAAGAGAACAAAATAGAGATGCATGTTGCTGAATCACACTGTGTGCACTGACGTTGGCATTTTTGTCATCACTCTTCCAGCAAAGCCATACGGATGCCTGCTGCCACCTCACTCATCAACCCCCGACAGGTGCGTGGGTCGCTCGCAGAAATCACAGGACCCTCAGGTCTTTCCGCCTCTGCACCTCCCTTCCCATCCCAACCCCATCCCCCCTCCAAGCCCCCAGGTTTTGCTAGTCCAGACAATTGACTGGACATCAACTCATTTTGGTACTTATTTCATATCCCTGTGAGGCTCAGGTCCCAAACTAAGTGTGTGATTCAGGCTGGCCAATCAGAGCACTCCATCCCTGCAGCCACAGTGATTGGTCTGGGAATGATCATGTGACCCAGTGTTCTGCGTGCCCCCTCCCCCCCCAGCTAAACTGGGGATCCAGTGCCCCGCAGCTGACAGCCCTGCCCTAACAGGAAATTAAGGGGCTGACCTGGTGCCTTTCATGGAATCTTTTCACCTGGTGGATGGCCTGAACCCGTTACCCAACCAATGGCTGGGGGTCCCTCACACAGGAAACGTTCGTACTGGCAGATGCCCTGTGGCTTGTGTCTGCCCCGTCTCCAGGCTATGCCTGCCAGGCCATCACTCTGGCAAAGGGAGCCCACCCTCATATTCCCTCCAGTGTCCCAGAGAAAACCCGGCCTGGGGTAGCTCCTAGCTCTTCAGATGCAAGGCACAAATTCAGTCCACCCTGTGAAAGGAAACACACTCAGATTTATTACTCACAGGTCCTGGATGGGGAGGGTGCCATGCGTGGGGAGGACAGTGCTCTGTCCACAGGTAGCAAGAGGCAGGAAAGAAGGGTCAGCCAGAGAGGGGGGCCCTGTGGGCCAGCACCTTTATTGAGGCTCAGGGCATCATCCAGGCAAGTTTCTCATGGGGAGTTTTAATTGGTGGGTTTAGAGCAGGCAGGCATGAGCTCCATGGGTCCCATTGTGACTGAGGGCATCACTGTGGCACATCTGCATGGTCCATGCAGGGTGAGGGGTCAGCGGGGCCAGCCAAGTGGGTTTTGTCCACCCTCCCACAGGGAGGCGGCCACTGGGAGGCAAGTGTCCGGATGGACCACACTGAGGCACTGGGAGCTGGTGGAGAACTGAAAACTGTTGAAGGTGACTGAGCCCTGCCTCTGGTGTGAGAAAGTTAAACCTGTCATCAAAATGGTTGCTGAGGCCACCTAAAATTAGAAAAATTCACTCCAGCCAGGCTGGACTAATGGGAGTCATCCATGGGACTCTTGCTGGAGCTGTTGGAAAAGAGTGAGCCTCTTTCTGCAGAGATCGCGAGCCATAAGGATGGCAGAGCTAGGAGGGGGCCAATGCAAAATGAATCCGATGTTTTCCTGTCTCCCTTTGGCAAATGAAGGAACTAGTGTGTAGTGAGCATGCATGGTGTGGCCAGGCAGCGAGTGATAACAGAAGTCAGTTCGGGATCCCACTCTCAGGACGTCCTAGTCTAGCAGGCTCCAGGCAGGCGTTGGCAGAGAGAAGAGAAGGGGTGGTCTGGAGGGAGAAGCCAAGTGTGCAGAGGTGCAAGAGAGGCATGTCAGAGAGAGCCCAGCCAGGGCGGGTGGGCCAGCGACCTCTGTGTCCTGGAGAGGCTACATCCTGGTACAGACGGCGGGTGGCCCTAAAGAGGGAGGGAAATGGCAGTGATCAGATGCCTCAGTGGCTAAACTCTGGCTGCAGCACGAAGCTAGAGGAAGATTTAGACATTTATGCATGGTCTCGTCTTGTGTGTATTTCAACTGACGTTATGGGTAAGTCCTGAGCTCACTCAAAGCCTTTCACTGTGTGTTTAACAGACTGGAGTCAATGGAAGTTGATCTCTCTCCTTCTCCGATTAGAAAAGTAAGTGCATCTTTCCTGCCGAGTTCCTCATTTCCCGTGTACCAGACGTGGCATTTCCCATTTTCCTCAGTACTGAAAAATATCACCGCTCATGCAACAGTAGACAGACTGCACAGCGCCCCTGTGTCATGTGCTGGCTCCTGCATCATGTGCTGGCCCCGTGGGTGAGAGGGGTGGGCTGTGGCTGTAAGCTGGGTCATGAGAACCCTCCTGTTCTGCCTGAACGGCTGGGACTGCAGTTGCATCTGGAGAAACAAAAGCAAATGCAGACAGAGTGTGGCAGGGTCCCACGCAGGTCCTGTGTTGTTCCCGTGCAGGTCCCATGTTGGTCCTGTGTTGACCCTGTGTTGGTCCTATGTTGGTCCTGTGTTGACATTGTGTTGGTTCTGTGTTGACCCTGTGTTGACCTTGTGTTGGTCCTGTGTTAACCCTGTGTTGGTCCTGTGTTGTTCCCATGCAGGTCCCATGTTGGTCCTGTGTTGACCCTGTGTTGGTCCCATGTTGGTCCTGTGTTGACCCTGTGTTGGTCCTATGTTGGTCCTGTGTTGATCTTATGTTGGTCCTGTGTTGACATTGTGTTGGTTCTGTGTTGACCCTGTGTTGGTCCTATGTTGGTCCTGTGTTGATCTTATGTTGGTCCTGTGTTGACATTGTGTTGGTTCTGTGTTGACCCTGTGTTGACCCTGTGTTGGCCCTGTGTTAACCCTGTGTTGGTCCTGTGTTGTTCCCGTGCAGGTCCCGTGTTGGTCCTGTGTTGACCCTGTGTTGGTCCTGCGTTGACCCTGTGTTGACATTGTGTTGGTCCCGTGTTGACCTTGTGTTGGTCCCGTGTTGGTCTTGTGTTGATCCTGTGTTGGTCTTGTGTTGACCCTATGTTGGTCCTGTGTTGACCCTATGTTGGTCCTGTGTTGACCCTGTGTTGGTCCCATGTTGGTTCTGGGTTGATCCTGCGTTGATCCTCCGCTGTTCCCATGTTGGTCCCGTGCTGGTCCCTGTTGGTGTCAAACAGAAATGGCAGCAAAGCTGGTGGCCCTGTGCTTTACCTGCCTTCAGTTGCTGTCTCATGAAGTGCCAAACAGTGCCAAAGAAGACAACAGTAAACTTTGTCAGCCCAGGAAAAGAAATGGGTCAGAAAAGCTAAGGATTCTGGGAAACAGGAAGCACCAACTTCAAGCTGGAGAGAAGCAAGACCAGAGGAAACCTGCCCGGAACTCAGGGAGACTCCAGGCCCCGCTCTCCCGTCGTCTCCCTGGGTCGGCAGAGCTCGGCGCCAGATGCACAGCGGCCACACACCAGGTGGCTCGGAAACAGGAGAGAGGAGGCAGTTTGGGAAGGACTCAGGGCAGTGAACTGCACCCCATGGGAGGGATCAGAACTTAAAAAACATGTGGGGCAGGAGGGGGCCAAGGAGCAAAGGCAGGAAAACCGAGTGGGTTCTGGTGGCGGTGAATGCCTGTGTTCCACAGTGCCAGTGATTGGCTTATTTGATTTATGTGTTGCTTCGTGTTGTGCGACACAGTGTGGCTCATTGGCAAGCACTGTTCCGAGCCTTTATAGATACAAACTCTGTTGTCCTAGCAGCCCTGTGACATGAGTAATCCCACCCAGAGCCAGATGATGGAGGAACCTGGAGTCAGAATAAGAAGGCGGAACTGGATTCCGTAGGGAATGAAGAGCTGCCACAGCTTCGGTGAAAGAGAAACGCCAGTTCCTTGGCAGTTGGGTCAAGCACACACGTCCTCTCCCTGCCCAGCTCACCTCCTCTATCCTCATGGCCGCACCCATACACATTGGCAGCACTGGAGCCGTGCTTCCAGAGGGACACACTGCCTCGTGGGTGCCCGTGTCCTGAGGCAACTGACCCACACCGAGCACGCTACCTGCCCCCTCAGGCCCTGCTGGAAGCTCTTATGGAACCCTCTCCTGGGTCCCTGTAGGTCCCTACCACCTGTCTTGGCTCCCCCAAGGCTGGACACCTGCTTCCAGCTGTCTTTTGGTGCACTAGGACCTTGTTTAATGGATGAACTCACAGCCTCCAAGTCCCCACAGCTTAAGGAGGAAGAACTTGGTTCTGTCAGGTCAGCTTTCTACCTTTCCTTAGGATCTGAGTAATTGACGAGAATAGAGAATACTCAAGACTGGCAGGCAGCAGGCACGTCGGGCTCACGCCTGTAACCTCAGCACTTTGGGAGGCCAAGACAGGTGGATCACTTGAGCCCAGGAGTTTAAGACCAACCTGGGCAACATAGTGAGACCCTGTCTCTAAAAGAAAGAAAAGACTGGCAGGCTAAATTGATTGACACTTCACTGGGTGCTACTGTTGGAAATTATTGCTGAGGAACCAGAATGTAATGAATCAAAGTTCCTAGGTGAGGGGCAAAGACCAGACATGGGCACACATTTTCCTTGTTTTTTTTTGGGGGGGGTGCGGGTTTTTGTGGTTTTTGTTTGTTTGTTTGTTTTTGAGACAGAGTCTCACTCTGTCGCCCAGGCTGGAGTGCAGTGGCGAGATCTCGGCTCACTACAACTTCCGCCTCCCGAGTTTAAGCAATTATCCTGCCTCAGCCTCCTGAGTAGCTGGGACTACAGGTGCGCACCACCATGTCCAGCTAATTTTTGTATTTTTAGTAGATACGGGGTTTCACCATATTGGTCAGGCTGGTCTCAAACTCCTGACTTCGTGATCCGCCCACCTCAGCCTCCCAAAGTGCTGGGATTACAGGCGTGAGCCACCGCGCCCGACCGGCACATATTCTGTAAAGGGCCAGATAGTAAAACGTTTGGACTTTGCAGACCAGACAGTCCATCACAGTCACTCAACTCTGTCATAGAATTGCAAAAGCAACCATAGAAAGTACAGAAGCTGGCCGGGCGCGGTGGCTCAAGCCTGTAATCCCAGCACTTTGGGAGGCCGAGACGGGCGGATCACAAGGTCAGGAGATCGAGACCATCCTGGCTAACATGGTGAAACCCCGTCTCTACTAAAAATACAAAAAAACTAGCCGGGCGAGGTGGCGGGCGCCTGTAGTCCCAGCTACTCGGGAGGCTGAGGCAGGAGAATGGCATAAACCTGGGAGACAGAGCTTGCAGTGAGCTGAGATCCGGCCACTGTACTCCAGCCTGGGTGACAGAGCGAGACTCCGTCTCAAAAAAAAAAAAAAAAAGAAAGTACAGAAGCTAATGGCATGACCATGACTGTGTTCTAATAAAACTTCATTAACAAAAACAGGCTGCGGGCCATAGTTTGCCCACCCCTGTGCCACACCAGAATGCAAATTTCAAGGAAAGTGTCTAAAACCAGTTTTTCACCTCCTGAAACGCCTTGTCACCCCGGAGTGGATGTGTGTAGCAGTTCCTTTGGAAAGAGCTCCTGTCCTCCCTGCCCCACATAACTGCGTAGAGTGAGAGGTGCTCCTGGTAACCCTCAGCCTGAGCAGAGGTTCTGGGGACACCACCTGTTGCCTCTGCAGACCGAGGTCTTCTGTGGCCTGCGGAGAGCAGTGTACAGGCCTCTCGAGGTGAACCTCCCACACTGTTGAGGGCTGCATAGGAAAGAGCGTTATCGGGGGTGCTCTTGGTGGGGTTCCTGCCCCGAAGGCTTGTCAGAGGGAGGGCCACAGTGCAAGTGTCTGTCATTGGGTGGACTTGGAGAAGCAAAGCCAGTGCCATCCCATGAGAGTGCCTGGGACACAGCTGGGCCTGCCCAGAGAGGCTTGGTTCTTTTCCTTCCTCCTCCACCCTTACTGCTCCAGGCCTGGGGACCTCAGGCTGCTGGCACTGGGGAGGAGGAGAAGCAGAGCCTGAGGCCCCCACCCCCCTGGACAAGGTGCCTGAGAAGGCGAGGGAGAGTCTGCTTTCACACGGAGATGGAAGTGTTGACTACGGTGTGGGGCTTGGCTGGATAATTTCTTAATTAACTTAATTAAGATAATTAACAGATAAATCTGTTCACCTTAAATGAGCATGGGATTTTCTGTTATGTAAAATTGACCAGGGCTAACGTATCTTTTTGAAAAGGTAAAATAATGACTCACAAATACAAAATGAACGCCATTCACATACTTCCTTCAGCTTACGAATTGGCCAGTCACAGTAGCTCACGCCTGTAATCCTAACACTTTGAGAACTGAGTCAGGCAGATCCCTTGAGCCCAAGAGTTTGAGACCAGCCTGGGTAACATGACAAGAGCCCATCTCTACAAAAAATTAGCTGGGCATGGTGGTGCACACCTGTAGTCTCAGCTACTGAGAAGCTGAGGTGGGAGGATCACCACCAGGAGGCTGAGGCTGCAGTGAGCTGTGACTGCCCCAGTGTACTCCAGCCTGGATGACAGAGTGAAACCCTGTCTCAAAAAAAAAAAAAGAAGTTTTGAGTTAATGAGGGAAACCAGCTGATATAGTTTAGGTATTCATCCCTGCTGGCATCTCATGTTGAATTATAATCCCCAGTGCTGGAGGTGGGGCCTGGTAGCAGATGTTTGGGTCATGGGGGCAGATCCCGGATGGTTGGTACTGTCTTTGCCGTGGTGGGCGAATTCTCATGAGATCTGGCTAGTTAAAAGCACGTGGCACTGTCCCCTAGTCTCTTGCCTGCTTGCCCTGCAATGCACCTGCTCCCCCTTGGCCTCCCGTCCTGATTGTAGCCTCCCGAGGCCGCCCCAGAAGCGGCTGCTGCCATGCTTCCTGTACAGCCCTCAGAAGCATGAGCCAGTTAAACCTCTTTTCTTTATGAATTACACAATTTCTGGTATTTATCGCAGTGCAAGGATGGCCTAATACACCACCAGTTAAATGTGAAAACTGGTTTAAAGGAGAATCCAAAGAGCAAATATGTGTGTAGGCAGCCAGGAATGCAGATGTGAACACACCAATGGGTACACAGCCCCTCCCACATGGCAGGAACCAGTGTCTTGCCCAGCCAAGTCTGCCACGGCCCATGGACAAGAAAGATTTGCACCACTCTCTTCTGTAACTCACAGCTATCAGACAGCACCAGGACGGGGAAAGACACGAGCACTGGAATCTCTACGGAGATTTTCTCTAAACGGAGCAGCAAATGAAACGTAGTTCAAAGGGGCGGTGATGTCAAGGGGATTCTTAGGATGAACTTTATATTGAAGACATCCTAGCAGATGGGAAGGATCCAGAAATGATGGCATAGCAGCACTCCAGGCAGGTGAGAGGAAGTACCTGGAGCCTGTCCTGATGAGGCAGGAATACGTCGGTGTTCACAGGATGGCAGGCAGAGGCTGAAGATACAGAGACAAAAGCTCCCAGTTTCACAAGATTCTGCCTTGTTGGGGGTGGGAGTGAGGTCATGAGCTTCGGGTGGATGGGGAATGCGCCCCATGGATAGCTCCATGAGACCACTGGCCTGCAGGCAGCTCAGAGGGCCATGCCAAGCAGGGGTGGGGTCCATCCTTCCAAGGTTAGAGTCTTGCCAGCAAGCAGGAGCAGAGGACTGGCAGAGTAGGGCCAAGGGTGTGGCAGAGAGTGTCCCCGGAGCAGGGCGCTGCTGTGCTGCTCGAGAGGCCACAAGGACACAGAGGGGCTTCCATGGTGTACTGGAAGGGCCTGTGGATTAAAGGGTCTGTGGGATGGCTGTGCCAGGGGCAGAAGCCAGGAAGGTGGGCAGCAGAGGTCTTGGCGGGGCACAGTTGATGACGGCAGAACCTGAGGACCAGCGGGGGTGAGGCAAGGAGCCTGGGAACAGGAGATGCCAGCAGTGAGTTGAGAGCCAGAGGAGCGAGCCCAGGAAGGGGCAGCAACTAGAAATAGCACCTTGCCATGCTGCAGGTCGCACTGAGAGGCAGGAGGGACTCAGAGCAGAGCAGCCTCCCTCACCAGTCTCAGAACCTGGGCTGGCAGCTGTGGATTCACAGGTTCCTGTGGGGTGAGGAGGGAGGGTGGCAGCAGCGGCCTTGTGGTTGCTGGGTAGGGTGAAGGGTGGGCACAGAGCAGGGCCCAGCACACACAGCTCCGAGCAGCGTTAGCTCCACCCTGTCTGTCGGCATCTGGACTTCAAGGTGACAAAATTATGCACCCAAGAATGATTTACTCAGGATTTCACATTCTCTAACATCAGCTGCAGACTTCTTTTTTTCCACCTAAAATTCCTAGTAGAGCCCGTTATCCATTCACCGTTATAGGCCCTGGTGGAACGGAGGGAATCAAATAGATACTACCCACCCACACCCCTTCTACCACCAGCAGGCAGAGTCGGGAGATGGACACAGAATCAAATTAGACAGGAACTTGTCAGAGGGCAATAAAGATGAGGGAGATGGGGTTCCAGGCAATGTATTCCTAACAGACACCGGGAGTCTGAATCTTGTAAGCGGCAATATTGGAATTTTATCCATTGTTTTCTTGTTGCATTCTTAGTCGGAGATAGCAGCCGGCCCTGCGAGAATCTCCGTGATTAGTCCACCTCAAGATGGACGCATGGGTAAGTAAAATTTCCTGTAACCTTACCTCAAATCAATACACGTGTCAATTAAAACATATTCCCTGAGGCCGGGCGCAGTGGCTCACGCCTGTAATCCCAGCACTTTGGGAGGCCGAGGCGGGCAAATCACGAGCTCAGGAGATCGAGACCATCCTGGCTAATTCCGTGAAACCCCGTCTCTACTGAAAATACAAAAAACTAGCCGGGTGTGGTGGCGGGCGTCTGTAGTCCCAGCTACTCGGGAGGCTGAGACAGGAGAATGGCGTGAACCTGAGAGGCGGAGCTTGCAGTGAGTCGAGATTGTGCCGCTGTACTCCAGCCTGGGCGACAGAACAAGACTCCGTCTCAAAAAACAAACAAATAACAACAACAACAACAACTATATATATATATATATATATTCCCTGAAAGGTCATGGTTAATCAATCAGAGTTGTCAGAACCTACCCAAGTGGGTGTTGTCCTTCCACCCGGTGTGTAGGAGGCTACATATTTACCAAAATGGTGCAGCGTTTGAGTCCCAGGGAGAAGCTCCTGATGACCGTGTAACAAGTCACAGGAGAAAACTGGCTCCTTTGCATTCTCTGTCCTCTTGGTTTTTAACAAAAATAGTGTCACTGGGTTTGCTTCTGGTAATTGGCTTTGAATTGCTGGTCCGTTTTCAAAGTGAATCCCTCCCTCAACCCTCAGCGCACATCGGCCTCAGCCCACACAGGCCATCTCCGCGCACACTGTCTCCTGCATCTCCACGGGGCCACATCTAACAGCTTCTTTCTGTTTCATCCCATGGTTGACCTTGTCTAAGCCCCCTATTCCCAGAGTGTGTGTCGTTTGCAGAGGTTCACCGTGTTTCTGCATAGACGTCCGTCCTCACTGGATTCTCCTCCTCGCATTCAGTTCTGGAAGGCACAGGGAACACACCAACTCTCTAAACGCTTCCGATATGTGCTGAGGTACACAGGGCCGCCTTGTTTCTGTCCCAGCAGGCTGAAGGCACCCTGGACACGCTCAGAACACTCACTGTGTCTGTTGTGTTTCCTCTTTGCCAGTCTGAAAGGAAATAGTAATTTTGATTTGCATTTATGTGACTATTAATGATTCTGAGTGTTTTAAATTTATTCCTCTGTGTTTTTTCTATGAATTATCTGCTTTATTCCTTTGTCGTTTATGTAGACCCCTCAGTGTGCAGGATATTAACCTTTTACTCAGTTTGCTTTGTAATTTTATATTTGACCTTTGAATTTGAGAGACTTAATATTTTTCTGTACTCAAATCTAGTCATAGGGTCTCATGCTTGGGGAGGTTTTTTTCACATACCTAAATCATTTTCTTCTAATTGAATGGTTTTTTAAACTTCTTCTTAGAGCAGTTTTAGGTTCACAGAAAAATTGAAAGGAAGGTACAGATTTCCCATATATACCACGACTCCACACATGCACAGCTCCCCCATCCCCATCCCCCACCAGACCAGCCGATGTGTTAAAACTGATGATGCTGCATGAACACATCATTGTCACCCGGAGTCCATGGTTTCCATCAGGCTTCACTCTAGGCGTTGTATGTTCTATGGGTTTGAACAAATACACAGTGACATGTATCCGCCATTGTAGCGGCATATGGAATAGTGCCACTGCCCTAAAAATCCTCTGTGTGCCACCTGTTCATCCCTCCCCCACCTCCCACCAACACCTGAAAGCCACTGATCTTTCTATGGTCCCTTTTTCAGACTATCCTAGAGTTGGAATTATACAGTATGTGGCTTCTCAGATTGACTCCTTTCACTTAGCAACACACACTTACGGTTCCTCCATCTCTTCTCATGGTTTGCTAGCTCATTTTTTTAGTCACTGAATAATATTCCATTATCTGGATGTATCACAGTTTATCATTCACCTGCTGAAGGGCATCTTGGTTGCTTCCAAGTTTTGGCAATTAGGAGTTAAGCTGCTATAGATGTCCATGTGCCAGAGTTTTGTGTGGACATGTTTTCAGCTCCTTTGGGTAAATATTAAGGAATGTGAATGCTGGATCAGATGGTGAGAGGGTGTTTAGTTTTGAAAGAAATTGCCAAACTACCTTCCAAAGTGGCAGCAGCTTTTCGCATTCCCACCAGCAACGAATGAGAGTTCCTGTTGCTCCACGTGCTCACGTTCCGTGATGTCAGTGTTCTGGATTTCGGCCAGCTGATAGGTATGTAGTGGTATCTTGCTGTTTTATTTTGCGTTTTTTTGATAACATATGACTAGGAGCATCTTACGCTGATTTTTCATCTGCATATCTTCTTTGCTGAAGTGTCTGTTAGGGTTTTGGC